GAGAAAAAACAAAAAAAAAAAAACCAAAGAAAAGTATCGTTCAATGATTAATTGTTTCATATATCTGCACCCCTAGCACCATGAATTTTCATCCTACGCGACGACTCTCGTTCACTCGTTACCATCACCATCATCTCTTCGATCTACCATCGTCCTCATCATCGTCACATCGATGTCGTGTGTGTAGTCAGCCAATGTAGTCATCGTCATAATCGACTTCATCTAATCATCTAGCCGAGGCGGTGAGCAACAAGCATTCGTATAATCAGTTCGTAGATCGCATCGTCCAAAAAACTACCGTACGTCACCACCTTCATCGTCTTTTATTCGATTCATCTCGATTCACACGAATGATATCATCCACCCGCCCCCCCAGCCGCCCCACAAAAATAGATATACCAGGAAGAAGAAAAATCAGAGAAAAAAAAGAAGTGAAGATGAAAAAGACGAAAGCAAAATACGGAAAAAAAGAACGAAAGGAGTGTTTAATAAATATCGATCTGTTTTCATTCGGTGTATGTTCAAATGGTTGAAGCATCTCACTGGTTACTGCATTTTCGAGTTAGATGACAATCCTCGACGACAAAAAAGCCAATTATTATTCCTCCTGTATTCGTTCATTCTCATATCACTTATCCTTGATTACAACCTTCTCTCTCTCTCTCTCTCTCTCTCTCTCTCTCTCTCTCTCTCTTTCTGTCTTTCTATCTCTGTCTATCTATCTCTCCCCCCCCTATTTCTCTATTTGTCAATCTCTCATTCAGTCTCATTTAATCAGTGTGAAATTAAGTTACTCGATCGCGAAATACATACATGCAAATCGACGATCGTAAGTCGATAGAAAACGATCGTGGTTCAGATTGATCAGGAGTGGTAGCGGGTGTTTCAGTCACGGGCCCTGGCCGCGTGCGTTGGAGCATACGGGAACCGTCGACGGTTTCCTCGACGGGTTCGTCGACCAGCGTGCCGCCATTACCGCCACCACCCTCTGGCCCAGGGCCTACTCCATTCTACAGGAGGTCCCCGCAGGTCCATCGGAAATGTACGTTCTCTGTACCACGTACCTGCTGCCCGCTATAGCCCAACCTCTCACGTATTTTCAGATTATGTTCTCTAATAAGAAAACCACCCCTTCTCATTCCTGCACCGGTTCTCTACCCATGGTCACAATTACCAACAACCCCCCCCCAACCCCGTAATTATTTCTCTCTTTCTTTTTTTTCTTTCTTTCTCTCTTTCTCTCTCTCTCTCTCTCTCTCTCTCTCTCTGTCTTTCTCCCTTCCGCCACCCTTTTCTCTCTCTTTCTTTTTTAAACCCTTTATTTATTTAAACCCTTGAACAGTTTAGTATTTTTTTCGACGATCATATATTTAGGATAGAATTAATTGCTTCGGAGTATAGTGATACGATGTGATAATATTGTAAAAGCATCTTTTAGTCGCTCTTTTTGTCACCGCTTGAAACAATGTCCCGGTTTAGCGTTATGAAAACCCTTTCGCCGTTAAACTGTTAAAGGGTTGCAACCACGTGTATCGAATATTTTCTTGAATATCCAAGGAAGCCCCTCGATTGAAACAAAAAGAGAAAAATCTATATTGAGATACGTATTGTATATATTATATACCGTTTCAGGTGTATTTAAAGTTGACAGATTGGTTTAAATAACGGGAAATGTTAGCGTTGTATCTGGTATTTTGTTTGAAATTTATCGTGTTCTCGATTAAGCTTGTTCTCTCCGATCTTTTCGCGAACGATTTTTCCGCCCTTTGTTTCTAATTCCCCCACGCCCCGCCCGGCCACTTCTATAAAAAATAGCGACTGTTCAAGATTCATCTATGCTCGAATATTCTTCAGGATTGCACGCGGTTAAATTCGCGGTGAATTTCCAGCATGTGCTCGAAACAATTTTCGGGGAACAATCACGTCGAGACAGAGTGTATACACGTGTCTACGTACATATACGTATGTACATACCGCAATGAAATTCC